TCTATAGGAAAATTGGAAGCTGAAAGAACACTCATATTATGTTACACCTCGTGATCCCGGATTGGGGGGAAGGGTTTTCAGAGTGGTAAGGCCTTGCCCAAGGACACAGCTGGTCAGCAACAGAGGCAGTTGGAAGAGCTAGGACTCTACACTCACGATTTTGCAGGAGGCCCCTATTCCCTCCCCAAATCCCCATTAGTACCTTCGCAAGAAAAGTCAGTAATAGCTCTTATTCAACTTAATGACTTCCTCTTCAGGTCACTAGAGAAAAAGAAAATCCTTACGTGGAGCAGCCAGAACTAGCTACATCTTGCCTGAATGTCTAAAGCTGCTAAACACAAAGATGCTTCTGAGAAAAGACACACCTCCCTCTGACCACAGCAAGCAGGAAGCAGAAGGTCGGTAGAGGTGTTCAGTGGCTGCTGCTGGTTGAATGCTGTGAGTTCAGCTCTGGCTAAGGCTGGGGAAAAGCCGTGACACCCAATCAAACTGAACCTCAGCCACCCACAAGTCAGAAGACCACTGTCCTTCATAATCTAGCTGGGAATTTAGCTGCCAAGAACTCCCTTCACTGTGACCACAGTTCATGATGTAACACTCTCAGGTGAGTCACTAACCCATGTTAATGCAACAAGGCCCTTTTTAAAGAGAAGTATGCAACTTCCAACAGCATAAAATTGCACGTAACACATCTACATGCATAGTGATGCAAAACCAAAACACCGAGTTGGTAGATCCCTGGATAGAGGATTCTGATTTGTTAGCCTAGCATGCTTTGGACACAGCAGAAAATATTGAGACATCAGAGGGAGGTCCTGATGACAGTTATCTACACCAAGAAGTCACTGTTTCTCCAACAACAAGTCATTTATCAAAGTAGGACCTGTGAGCTCTGTTCCTGGGGAAAGATATTAAATCACTGAATTTTAAAGCTCCAAAAAAAAGATCTCACGTGGCCCAACTCTCTCATCTCACAGATGAAGGAGCCAAGGCTAGCAGAGGTGCTCACACTCAGCAGGTCTGTATGGGGGCTAAGATCTGAACCAAAGACCTCTGAGACCCAGCCCTGTGCTATTTGCCCTGCACCTCACAGCATGCTGGATGAATTAGAGAGAATTGTGGTAAATGGACACAAGATTTATTATAGGGCATATGGTCCAAGATTGCAGTATTCCCTGAAAGTCTATAATAATACTAACCACGCATTCTACAGCAGTGGTGTCCAACAGAACTTTCTGCGATGGTGGAAATATTCTATATCTGTGCTGCCCAATCCAGTGGGCACTAGCCACATGTGGCTACTGAAAACTTGAAATGTGGCTAATGCAAATATGGAACTAAAATTTAAATGGCATTTCAATTCATTTAGATAGTACAATTTCAAAATATTCTGATCCATTGTCCCCACACAGCTATTGAAATGTTCCAAAAATTATAGTATTTTCACATATAGTCTGCCTGTCACACTTGGAAAAAGCACAAAATTCCTGTTGGACCATATAATCTCATTTTTTTGCTCAGAAGATACGTTCACCATATTTATCATGGTCTGCCTTAGAAAGTGGCCCAGGTTAAGCATTGAGCTTGAGCTCTAAGCAAAACTAACATTTACTATTCCTTCCATCTTCTCCATCCTACCCTATTGTGATATCAACATAAGAGCTGAGAGAATAAGTGGGTTAGCTAAAAGAACTAGGAATAACTAAGACAACAGTCTGCATCCCGTAGTGCTGATACATGAGAAAACTGCAAGTCAGTCCCGGTAGCTGGAACCACTCCCACGGCTGCGGGCCTGTGATTCACTCTGCCTGGAAGGAGAGGCAGAGTGTCCAACCACCTGCTTTCTGCATATCTCTGCCTTGCTGCCTGATTTCTGAAATTATACCAGGCTTCCTCAGTCCTGCATTATTTTAACAATAATGGCAGATACTTCCCTCACCAACTGAAAGCTACCCAAATATCTATACACAACAGCAATAATAGCAAAATGAGCATTTACTCTGTGCCAAGCCCTGTACTAAGCACTTACAGACATTAGCTCATCTGATGGTCACAATTACCATAAACGGTAGATTTTTTTATTATCCTCATTTTAGATATGAAGAAAGGGAGGTTTGGAGGATAAGCAATTTGCCCCAGACCCTATAGCTACTAAGTGGTGAAGCCAAAGTCCACTGTCTTAATCATTATGCAATACTTTATATGATGCTTGCAGTATAGAAGGTACTCAGTAAATGTTTTTAGTTGAATGAATGAATGAGCCAGGGCAGGAGACATTGGCAAACTCATTCATCACTTATATTAATACAGATAATAACATGTTAGCCTAAGTAAGACTTTGAGCCTTAAACAGAACTGTCATTTGGTGAAAATATTGACTGTGACTTCTCTCTATGTAGAAGTAAGATGTGTGAAATTCACACCTATGTAAAATTTAACACATCTATTATGGGCAACCATTAATGAATATAAAGAAGCAGAAAGGCAGTTTGAAGAAACAAATAATTAAAATTGTCAATGGAAATGTTTTAAATGACTCTCTGAAATAATTTCTTAATCTTTTTGTTTTCTCACATTTAGCAAGTTCCTTGGCAGTAACATATGTTTAAATTTCTATTGCATTTCTCTTCAGAGACATCAGCATAAATATACACAGAAGGGCTCACATCTACCTGCAAAGGTCCGAAACGGGTCCTGGCTCCTAAACTGCTTTTTCTGCCAGTCTGCACCCTTTAATCTTCCTTAGACTATACATTCATCTTGCTGATCAACTGCTCAAATGTCTTCAAACACTCCCTTTTCCTAGCCTGTCAGATATAAATTCCTCATGCCCAGCTCTTAAGGCCTCCCCCCAGATTGCCTGTGCTCAGGTTAGCAGGCTCCTCACTGTCTCACAGATTTACAAGGCTCATTTTCACCTCCATGGATTCACAACTGTCCCTCTGCCTAGAATGTCCCACACTTCTAGGCAAATCTTCACTATGCCTAGTTCAAGTTCCACTTCCTCGTGAAACTCCTGTGACCACTCTTGATTTTGTTAAAATCAAGACAGATGTGATCTTAATCTGTCTGGATCACTCATCTCTGAGATGACCTATGGTTCATTCCTGCTCAAATGTCACTTTCTTTGGCCTTCTCTGACCCCCCTATTTAAAATGACAACACCCTCTCACTTGGGCACTCCCAAACCTCTTTGCCTGATTTATTTTTATTTTTCTTCCTAGCTGTCATCACCATCTTGCATAATCTACATTTACTTGTTTATTTGTTTATTGTCAGCCTCCCCTTGTCCAGAATGTAAGCTCTATGAGAGTAGGGAATTTTGTATGTTTTGTTACTGGTTTATCTCCAGAACCAAGAATATTTCCTGGCACATAGTAAACGCTCCATAAATATTGGCTGAATGAACGAATGACTCTTCCTCTCTTTAAAATTCAAAGGTCATAGCATGCTTTATACTGTGTCATTTAGCACTTAATTACAGTTGATTTAGGAATGTGACTCTGTCTCTTTTATGGTATTTCCAAGACAAATATAAATAATTTCTGGTATCATTTTACATTTTCCTCTTACATTTTCCTCTCTTTCATCAAGGTATTCTGTCATTAAATATACATTGAGCACCTATTATATGTCATTATATGCCAGGTCCTATTCTTTTAGCAAAAACTTCAAGAACTCACAGTTACACATAAATACACACACACAAAGGCAAGAAACAAGACTGAAAGAAAGAATAGGAAAACGAAGACTAGTAAAACTAAGAATCCAATATTAGTATGTGGGGACCAAGTGTACAGGGTGAGTGTGACAGACTGAGTGGGTAGAAAAAGGAAAAAAGAGACAGAATGGTGAGAGACCAAGTAGGATGTCGCCAAAGTAATCACCAGATGCTAGTGCTTAATATAAACTGTACCAAAGCAGATATGCAAATATATTCTACATGAATTTTTTAAATTCATATTTCAAAAGTTATCTGCCAGCTATCCTGTGAGTAAAAATTAGATTAAGACTAGCGACATCTGGTGGATATTTTGGAAGTGACCCTTGAGTTTCTCGACTATGAAAACAGGGTAAATGCCCTCATGCCTCAGGACTGCCATTCATAATGTGTTAGGGCTCCACATTACTAATTAGACTATCATGAAATAATCTTTCTGCCAAACCCAGCGTTTCATTGCAAGAGGTAGCCAGATTTCTATCAAGGACCTTTCTATCTCCCAACTGATGTCCCTCTGCCTTCTGAAGAATGTATACAAAATCTGACACCACAATTCTTCTTTTAAGAGATAACTTATTACTTAAAATGTTCACATCCTTTGACCTAAGGATTCTACTTCCAGGACTCTACCATAAGAAAAAAAAGCCTTAAATGAAAAAATCAATCAGTTATTTACAATGGGGAGGAGAACCTAAAAATCGAACAACAGAGGAATGGTCAAGAAAATTACAGCCATTATAATGTTTACCAAACATTTGTACCCATATTAAAACAAACATTTTAACAATTTCAAATTAACAGACATTAAATTAAAAAAGCAAAGTCAAAAAATGTGTGCATAATAAGATCTCAAATATTTAAATAATATACATAGAAAAAAAGACTAGAAGAAAATATTCTAAAATATTAACAGTGACTGCTTCTGGATGGGAGGATTATGTTGTTTTTTAAATCATGGTTTGCAATATTTCCCAAATGCTCTATAATTAACATGTATTATTTCTATAACAAACATTATTTAAATCTTTTAAACAATGCATATGTTCTTATTAATTGCTAGAAATTTTCAACCTCTGCCTAATTTTATTAATTCCAGAAAAACATAATGAATCAAGTGAACTAGAATTTCCACAAGAAGGGGAAGCAAGAAAAGAAAGCAAATATATTACAATTTTGTTCCAGGATCTGAGTCGTGATGGAGAAATCCCCTAGTTGTAGAATTGCACTGAAATGCCATTAATATCATCACACTCCTCTCAACAGCACACCAGAAACTTACAGAGGGTGTTGGGAATTCTGCTGGCAGCAGGGAATTACACAGTCTCTTAACCACTTGGGTCCCCATCTTCAGGTCCCTAGAAGAGCCGGATCAGGGCCTCCTTAAGATAAGAGAGGAAGAAATGTGCAAAAATACAGGACAGAAAAAAAATTCCAAAAGCTAAACCAATCTAGTAGGGTCAGGCCACTGCCCCAAACCTACCAACTTAAGGTACCAACTGATACTTCATCTAGAAGTATCAGAAATAGGACCCCGTTTAGCAGGAAATTCAGCCTAAGATGTTATGATTACAACAGGGCTATCCCAATGGCATTTTTAAAACTAGTCACTTAGGTTTTAATAGTAATAAAGAGCAATGCTTCCCCATCATTAGTCAATAGCAAGGATGCATCTTCCTTCTTCCCTACATTTATCAGTCAAAGACCATAGGAAAGATTTCGAAGACAATCAGAAGAAATAGTGGGAGCTCTGCTTTTGACCCGCACTTCCCTTCATCCTCAGGAATTCAGTTTTAACCTAGAAAGGCAGCATTTATGTTCTAAGGCAGAAAATTTTATACAGCACTTTAAGTTTACAAAGTGCTAGCACCTACTTCATCTTATTGGAAACAGAGTTCATTTTATTACCCCCAGCTAATAGGAAATAGGCTAGGGAGTTGCTCTGCCAATTAGTGGTGGAGGCAGTTTTCTAGCCACCTCTTATGAATCCACTTGCACTAAGTCAGTGCCAGAGAACAGCCAGGAAAAGAGTGGTGGTGACGATGATGATAATGGAAGCCAAAATTTGCCTACATACTATGTACTGTACCAAGTGCTTTAAGTTCTCACAAACACTCTATGAAGTCGATATTATTATTACTAACTTTTTTGTGCTGCGATTCCATTTTCAGTACTCTATCCATCTTAAGGAATAGTTCCTCTCAGGGACAAACCCAGGGGCAGCAGTATTTGTGGAGGATGGGGTACAGATTGAGAAAGGGAAGTGCATTTTCACTTGTCTCCAAGCTCTGAAAGTCTGAATCAGGAACGGCACACCAAGAATCTGTCAGCTTGGAGCGGGTTCGGAACCTGAAATTTCCTCCTCCGTGTTCCCACCCCACCCTCGTCCTTCCGTGTGTCCCCAGTTCTGACCTGGATGCTCAACCGGTGGTAATAACACTTCCCAGGTACCCTCCACCTTTCAGCACCTACCTCTTAAATCATCGATCCGTCTGGTTCAGCAGCTCAGTCTCCAGCTCTTCTGAGCACGGCCTCCTCCTGCTATAGCGTCGCAGCTGCGTTCCCGCTGCCATGGTGACGCGGAGGCCGGCCCAGGCCCTGCCCACCTCCAGTGGATCGGGGCCCCGCCCCCTGCCGGCTTGAACCGCGCCTCCTGATGGCCAGGACCCCTCCTCCTACAGTCCTAGACTCCGCCCCCTGCCTTCCAGGCCCGCCTCCTAATGGCCCAGACCACGACCCCTGCCGGCCTTGACCCGCCCCCTGCCCGTCCTGACCCGCCTCTTGCTGAGCCGCCCCGCCTCCTGCCGGCCGGGACCCCGCCTCCTGGCTGTCATGACTCCGCCCCTGCCTTGCAGACCCGCCTCCTGCCGGCCGGAACCCCACCCCCTGCCTTGCAGACCCGCCTCCTGCCGGCCGGAACCCCACCCTCTGCCTGCGCAGACCCGCCTCCTGCCGACCCGGACCCCGCCCAGAGAGCTCGGCTTACGACAGATAGGAGACCGCTTCCTGTCCGTCCAAACCACACCCCCTCCGCCTCGGGCGAAGCGGTTGGACGTCCGGACCGCCCTTAGGTTGAGCTCACCTCAACCTAGCCCCCTCAGTTTACGCAGAGCACGCAGAACCCCCGCCCCAGAAAATGCACCGGGCGTGTTCCTTGCGCGATTTATTGATCCTAGCGGCTCTGCACGTGCGAGAGCCAGCAGTCCAGCTAAGGGGAGTTTCTGGGCCACGCGGTACTGTCAGTATCAGTGACTTCAGGTCCTTGTAACTGACGGTCCAAGCGTTCTCCCTCCATGCCTCAGCCCCTCCCCTCATTTGTCTCTTTAGGTCTGGGACCCCTGACCCACCCACTGAGGAAATTGCCCACGCCAGCCCTGGAGGCTGTGTACAAGAGCTCAGAATGCTTTTCCAGAGCATCTCTTCTTCAACTTTGGAGTTTAAGTTGTGTACAAGAGATACCGTTAAATTAAGTCCAACAAAATTAGCTAAGTGCTTAAGGGGTAATCTGTTCTTTCTGCACTTTTTTTGAGAGCAGGAACAAAAGTAGGGATCAAAAACCTCCTTTCCTGTACACTCAATCTAGCCCCCTCATTTTGTGGAACTCCATCCACCCCTAGCTAACCCAAATACAACTTCAAGCTAACGGTGGCAAATAAGAGATAGGAATAGGGGAGAGAGCAAGACTGGGGACACTCAAAATTCCAAGGGCTCTGGAGTCTTTAAGCTTAAAACATGGTCGCCGTCCCGTGGGCCACCAGCCAATTCCCCAAAGCAGGAGATTCTCCCCAGGAGTAGTGGTGAAATGATGGAAACCGATCCTTCCTCCCCAAGGCTCACACTAGGGTCCCGTTTTTGCTGTCATAGCGGGGTGTGGCCTGGGGGAAGCGAAGAGTTGCATACTCTGTAGCGTTTTCTAACTGCAGATGCTTCACCTCCCCGGCAGAGCGTGGCTGGGTACGGCTGCACACTTGAATGTCTGCGTAATGTAAGCTGCTCTCCTCCGACCTGAGGCCTTGACTCCTCTCCTGAGATGCAGGCTGCCCTAACACCCGCTTGGACGTATGTCCTGTTGTGTCATGGCCCTGAGAGGAAGGGAGAGCATTAAGGGAGGTTCTCAGCTTGGTTTTGCCCCTCATCTCCAATGCAGGGTCAGTTACACTGAGGTCCCTTCGCTTTGCTCCTTTGGGGGGCAGAGGAGGATGGGCAGAATCAGCAAGTTCTACAGATAACTGAGATGTGTCTGTCCCAGGATGAACAAGCTGAGTCCTGGGATCCCATTTCTGAGCAGCCCTCTGGAGGGGACCGAGGCCTGTCATCACCTTGGTGCCAATCTGCTGCTGATGCTGCTTCAGTGTTCGTCTTCCTTGGCTCCCTGAGAGGAAGAAATCCGACTTAAATCCATTCTCTCTTCCCTGTCTCTACTGAGATTGCCCTCTTTGTTTTTTTTTGTTTGTTTGTTTGTTTTTTAATTTTTATTTATTTATCTTTATTCCTCAAAGCCCCAGTAGACAGTTGTATGTCATAGCTGCACATCCTTCTAGTTGCTGTATGTGGGACGTGGCCTCAGCATGGCCGGAGAAGAGGTGCGTTAGTGCGCGCCCGGGATCCGAACCCGGGCCGCCAGCAGCAGAGCGCACGCACTTAACCGCTAAGCCACGGGGCCGGCCCAGATTGCCCTCTTTGAATCCCTATTAGACTATTATGGTGGGCTTCTAACTAATCTCCCTGCCTCTTTCACTTCTACCATTCCCACATTGAAACTCCTTAGCAGGGTATGCAATCTGGCCCTTTCACAATCTTCCCATAATATCTTCCATCCTTGTTTTTCACCGGCCCCTAACATAATTCAACAAATATATGTTGAGAGCCCATTATATGCCAGGCTTTGTGCCACATTCTGGGGATCGAAAGATGAATAGGCTGTTTCCTCTATCTCAGGGAGCTTACAGTCTACTAGGGGAGACAAATAAGTATACAGAATATCACAGTGCAATGTGGTAAGTGCTCAACCACACCAAACAATTGGTCACTTTCAATCAAGCCTGTTTCTTCTCTGTTTTCTTTCTTTTTTTTCTGCATGAGGTAATTCCCCTGCCTAAAATATCCTTTCCTCCCTGCTCCTCTTTCAACTTGTAAACTTGCTGATTCCTTCGACATTGGTGTTATCTCCCATTCCCCAACGGGAGGAGTATGCATCTATTTTAGCGCTGGTAGATGGCATTACAATGACTTGTTTACATATATCTATCTCTCAAACTTGATTTTCAGCTCTTATAGGGCTGAGACAGTGTGTCCTTCCTCTTGTGCCACTCTGCCTCCTTTGGACACTGCAGAGTACCTCACGTACAATATAAGTGCTCAGTAAATTTTTGCTGGATGAATGACAAAATAAGCAACCAACCTTGCCACTCAGAGATAATGGGAAGAATGAGACCAGAGTTTCAGAGCTGGTCTTCAACCCGGTAACCTAAAGATTCTCTTTGGTGTAGCATCTCCCTTTGTTCCTTCCAAGGCTACTCCCTCTTTTCCACCCTTATGTCTTTTCCAAAGACACCGGTTCTATTATCTTCTTTTCTCTAATTTGCTCCCGCCCCAACTCTCCCAATACCAACAGCACCAATTACCCATTTTCTTTTTCCTCTGGAAAGTTGATGGGCAGCTCCTGTGAAAGAAAAAACAGATCACCCATGTGTAAGAGCCCTGGCCTCTGTCTTCCCTCCATCATTTGCTCTGTGGTCTCCTTAACAATCTGGGATGACCTTCCCTCACCTCCCTCTAACAAAGATTCACCCTAAGCCAGCCCCAAAGCATTTATCAAGGGTACCACACCTCTCCCAAGGATAGTTCTGGAAGGTGGAGTGGTACAACTGACATAACCAAACCCAAAATACAGCCCCAGGCACTATGTGCCAGGGATGTAGCTGGGTTGAGGGCTATTCTGGGATTGTCTAATGGGCTAATCCCAGCAGAGGGTAAGGGAAACCTGCCAAATAATGGGATATTCCTGGATTCAGACACCCTCTTGCTTCTTCTTTGGCACTTTTCTTTCAGGGTCTCTGCCAACCCGGGGTTCTCATTCTGGGAGTTACAGAAGCTGCCACAACCAAGGCTAACTAGTTAGGGCCCCTCACAGCGTTTTCCTAACAGGTGACTCCCTCCGTGCTTCCCTGTCCTTGTTTTTAATTAACAGAGAAAGTGAGAGAGGTTTAACCTTTAACGTCCACAGCACAGGGAGCTCTGAATTTGGTGAGTGACTCAGCTACCCCACCCTTGCTCCAGGACAGACCTCTTATATTCATTCCTGAGCCCCTGGGGTCCCCGATGGAGCCAGTGTGTCTACGTGATTGTCAACTGTTTGATGGCCAGAGAAACAACACTTGTCTGAGGAAATAGGCTGAATAGTTTGGGGCTTACTCCGGATGCTTTCTCTTGCTAGCACAATTCAGACTCTCACGAGAGCCAACCCTATTTGTCTGACTTCTGTCTCCTCAGGGAAGTTTCCTTCTTTCACTAATTAAAAATAAACAGAGGGAGGGGCCGGCCCCATGGCTTAGCGGTTAAGTGTGCGTGCTCGCTACTGGCGGCCCGGGTTCCGATCCCAGGCGTGCACAGACGCACCGCTTGTCCGGCCATGCTGAGGCCGGGTCCCACATACGGCAACTAGAAGGATGTGCAACTGTGACATACACCTATCTACTGGGGCTTTGGGGGGAAAAAAAAGGAGGAGGATTGGCAATAGATGTTAGCTCAGAGCCGGTCTTCCTCAGCAAAAAGAGGAGGACTAGCATGGACCTTAGCTCAGGGCTGATCTTCCTCACAAAAAAATAAATAAACAAAAAAAATAAAAATAAACAGAGGGAGGGAAACTTCTAAATCACGTTTATTTTACTGGTGTGGAATAATCAGGATTTTTCCGCAAATATCTGACAGAAGTTTGTGTTTTGGTTTGATTTTTGGTTTTAATGCAGCTTGCTGAGTTAAGAGAAGTTAGAGTCTCCATCTGAACAGGTGGTTCAGAAGAAAAGCTCTGAAGCCCCTTCTGGGTCTTTCTACTTCCTCCTCTGCCACTTCAGCTCCTTTCTCATACCACTGCCTAGTCATAGCCTTATCCTAGCCTCTCATTCTTTGCCCCTCATCACTACTGTCTTCCTACTTACTTCTGCTTAAATGGATAAAGAGAATATTAATTCTAGAATAACACAGACTTGGGAGACCCAATTTTAGTGAACAGAGTCTGTTCCCAAATTGGATATTGCACAATGCCTGGACACAACCCAAACAGAATATTCAGTTAGACTCATAGGTGATAGGATTTTATTTTTAGCTCAGAATTAAGGAAACTAAATGGGCACTCTCTTATACTGGTAGCAAAAATAAAAATTGGGTCAATCTCTTTAGAATGCAATCGGCAGTAAGTATAAGAAGCCTTAAACATAAATTTGTATACCCTCTGATGTAGCAATTCCCTATCCTAAGAAATAATCAGACAGGTGCAAATATGGATGCTCATTGTAGCATTATTTATAATTGCAAAAAATAGGAAATATCTTAAATGTCCTACATTAGGAACTGATTAAATAAATGGCATCTCCAATCAATGGAACATTATACATCCATTTAAGAAAGATGTTGGAAGAACACCTAATAGCATGGAAAATTACTCTTTATTAAGTTAATAAAAGGATAATATGTTTGGGGATAAAAACTATGTACATAGGCATTTAAAAAGGATTACATGGAAATATACTAAAATGTTCATGTCATTTCTGGGTGCTTATATTTATGGTTGCTTCTCATTTTCTGCTCTTCAGTTTTTTCCAATTTTCTACAGTGAATGTGTATTACTTTTGTAATCAGAAAATAAAACAAATAATATTTTAAAATAAAAATCTCTTCAATTATCACAGTATCTTTAAGTCTCTGGAAGTTTATTGAGATAATGAAAAATAGAGAATATATTTATCCAGTCCTACTAATATTTTAAGAGGAAAAAAATATATTTTGGTTAGAATATCTGGTGTAGTGTTTCTAGCCAGGCTCTAGAGTCAGACTTATGTTATCAGACTAGCTGTGTGACCTTCAGCAAGTTTTTAACTTCATTAGGCTTCCATTTTCTTATTAATAAAAGGAGGATAATAATAGAACCTAAACCTCATGGGATTATTGTGAGAATTTAATAAAATAATAAATGTAAAATACTCAGCTTGGTACATTGCATATGACGAGCGACAGCAAAAGCTGACTACTGTGACTACCACCATCGGAGGAAGAAATAACTAAAAATGAAGAATATGAAGACTTGGGAAGAAAGGGAGTGAATGAAGCTGTTACACCCCCTTTCCTAGAAGCTTTTATATGTTTCTAGATGTCCTATGTTTGTGTGACATCTCAGAGTTTAAAAAGTGCTTTTGTTTGTTTTTTTCAATCCTGAGAACATTCTGGGAAACACATATGATTGTTCCTATTTTACAGATGGGTCAACTGAGGCCCTAGAACCTCGGTATCTTACTCAAGAAGTTAGGTACCAAATTTCCTATTATTACTATGTCTTCTGCATCTATCACTATTCCTGGTACATATAGATGGTCAAAAAAATATTTGTGTAATAAATGAATGGATAAATGAATAAGTGGTAGGAACAGGACTTGAATCCAATGTACTGACTCCAAATCATATGCACTTTTCAATGTACCTCACCTATCTCTCTAAATATAATAATGCTTTACTCATAAACAAGACATCTTCAAGACTGACCCAGGTGGGGGATGGTATAGCTAAGAAGGTAGTGGACAGGATATAACCAGGTCCAGGAGTTTATAGTGATGACAACTCTGGGAAAGAACAGGAAAGACACCACTAATAATTTATTGTGAGGCTTTCACCTATCCTCTGCTCTTCAAACTTGTGATCTAAACAACAGGGGTCATGTTATCTATATTTTACATATGAGGAAAAAGAGAAGTTACAGGATTTGCCTAAGGTCACAGAGCAAATAAGTGTGAAAGTTGTGAATGTCCCATGGATAGCTTCCTTCTCCCCACTTCTGCCCTTTTAAATAAATATTTCTCCAAAGTTGATTTGCTTGATTTGGGCGGCAGTATTATGTAGTGGTTAAAAGTGTGGGATTGGAAGTCAGATAGGCCTGGTTTGGAATCTTGATTTATTTGTTTAGTAGCCATGTGACCTCGGACAAGTTAGTTAACTGCTCCGAGCCTCGGCTTCTTGGCTGTATAATGGGAGTAAGGCCACCTCCCTCAGAATTGTTGGGAAAATTAAATGAGATTGTTTATGAAGTGCCTGGCACACAGTAAGCTCTCAAATGCTACAATTATTATCGTTAACTAGAGAAGGGAAGGGAGAGACGGGAAAGGCGAGGAAGAGGAGGACAAAGAGAAACAATGCCAATTCACCATTCCAGCCCTGCTCTGGCCATTTTACAGACAGCTGGCTTGGCTGTGTTTTCTGAGGTCTTCTGAAAGGACAGAGCACAGAAGGAGGTGCTGCTCTGCTGTTGGCACCCGGAGGTGCCAGGCAGAGGAATGTGGTAGTGCAGAGAACTATCTGCAGGCTCTGTCTTATTCTCAGGGCCTCCACGTCCACCTACAGAGGTTACCCTCCACCATTTGCCCCTACTCACCAGCTTCCCCCGCAGCAGAGCCGGTTTCCCATGGTGCTCTGTCTCGGAGGGAGCCCAGCTGTTTTTGTACATAAAAAGGCTTGTGCATTTCCTGGTTCCCGGTTTAGCTTTCAGTAGCAGCTCCCAGGGAGTCTCTGTCAGTGTCAGATTTCAACCTAGCAGGTTGGACTTTGGAAGCCACCTGCTGGAAGGATTCCCAGGTGACTGCTCCCAGCCAAAGGGTAGAAGAACATACACGGGCTCCAGGTGGGACCCAGCTCACCTTCGGGAGTTGGAACTGCTTTGATGAAGCCGTGAACTTTGAGCTTCAAGCTTCAGTGAAAAGAAAGCTGAGATAGAAAAGGGCTCTGGGTTTCCTGAGGAAATGTTTCTCCACTACATCACACTGTCATTGAAATACATACATCCTCTATAATGGAGTAAAGAGTCTTACCTTATGTTTCCCCAGCACTACTCAGGTTTAATTGAGTTTCACTTTCAAGGTAATCAGCATGAGTTTCTTATTATCCCTGTCCAGAATTTAGGTTTGAATACTGGAGTCTCTTGGAAACTTAAATTTAGGGAAATGGATTCCTTTTACATTCTCGTTTGCTATTGGAATTAATGTGAGCAAATCACTTTTTTCTAGAACTGTAAAATGGAGAACTGAACTCATTACCTAATCTCCTTTCTGGTCAAAAATCATATGATTCTATGATTGAAATGGCTTCAGCACTTCTTAACCACTCACTTCCCCATCCCCAGTACTGAGCTACAGAATCTCCACTTACACAGCTCAGCTTCTCCTTCCAGTGACCCAAAGTAAGACCCATTCCACACTCAACAGCAACTAGGATGCAGTTGAGCAAATTCCTCTGTAGAAAGTATGGGCTCCAGGAGAATTTATGAAACCTGTAAGTCTTGTCTTCAGTGCTCTCACCCCCATCTTTAGTGTCTTGCACAGATGCCCAGTTATTTCTGTGCCTCTTATGGGTAGTCAGGACCTACCAACAGCAACTAGGATGCAGTTGAGCAAATTCCTCTGTAGAAAGTATGGGCTCCAGGAGAATTTATGAAACCTGTAAGTCTTGTCTTCAGTGCTCTCACCCCCATCTTTAGTGTCTTGCACAGATGCCCAGTTATTTCTGTGCCTCTTATGGGTAGTCAGGACCTACCACTCAGCCCTGCACTCCAGAGAAAGTACCATGGACTCTTCACTCCTCCCCATATTCTTTCCTTATGAAAAATGGGGATATTAAGAGTGTCAACCGTACAGGATTGTGGTTAAGACTAAAAGAGATAATGTGTATAAAGCTCTAGTCCAGGACCTGGCACATGGGAAGCTCTCAGTAAGCCCTAGCTATTGTTATTATTATTACTTCTTATTCTCAGCTAATTGTCAAATGGTAAAACATCTTATTTTATTATTACCTTATGCTGGATCATTGCACTAGTATCTTATTTCATGGCCATGAAATCCATTCTGGACTCTACCATTAACTATTTTCTTTTCGTCCTGTTACCCAAACTTCTTAGCCTGACATTCAAAGCCCTCCACAATCTGGTCCCTTTCCAGCCACTTTCTCTAATTTAAAGGAAAACACTTAAGAGATTTTATATGACCAGAAACTCCAAAGGAACCAATAGTGTGTTCTGGCAGCCAGAAAACCTGATACACCTAAAGCAATATTAATAGAAGTCTAGAGTGATAAACAAGGGTATCAATTATTCCACTGAAGTCTGTACCAGTCAGTCCACGACTCGAATAATAATTTTATGTCTACATGTTGAGTTTCAAGTTATGTTGTCAAAAGGCAGTGTGTTCAAGAGAAAGTTATCTGGGTGATAAGTAGGATGGAAAGTCCTATAAGATATGGTTAAAAGGACTAGGCATGTTTAGTTGGGAAAGGGAAGCCTTAGGAGGACAGAATGGTTATCTTTAAATATCTGAAGGACTCTTAAGTGAAAGAAGGATTGCTTTTATTTTCTGAACATAACCAGAACCAATGGGCAGAAGTTACTGAAATGCAGATTTTGGTTTAATAGAAGGAAGAATTTGTAACAGATATGTCCAAAAAGAAAATCAATTGGGCTACTTTATGAAGTTCTCAGTTCTCTGTCACTCAAAATGTCCCAAAAGAAGTTGACTAATAATCTTAAAAGAATTTAAATGGGATGGGGATTTGGACTAAATCAGAGGCCTCCATTTTTTTTTCTAGCTAAGGAAACTTTTCTTTCCTTTTCTTTTTTCTTTTCTTTTTTTTTTTTGAGGAAGATTACCCCTACCATCTGTTGCCAATCCTCCTCTTTTTTGCTGAGGAAGATTGGCCCTGGGCTAACATCCGGGCCCACTCTTCCTCCACTTTATATGTGGGACACTGCCACAGCAGGGCTTGACAAGCTGTGCGTAGGTTCGCGCCCAGGGTTCCGAACCTGGGAACCCTGGGTCGCCAAAACGGAGCACGTGAACTTAACCACTATGCTGCCAGGCCAGCCCCTGGGAATCTTTTCTTTTAAATAAAGCTCATGTGAAAATTCCAGTTACAAAACAGATCAATGTGATGCTGTTCGGGTTGAAGTCTGAGTAGGATCCTTTCTTTACTCTTTTTATTCTCAACTAGGTATTAAGATTCATGAGAGTAGACAATAAAAGACCATAATTTTAATAATTTATATTTACAATGTGCATCCCCCATAGTATTTTACTTGGGGTTTGATAAATATTTGTTGAATGAATGAATGAACAAATGAATATATCAATAGTTACTTCTCTGAGGCACGCTATCATTTTTAATTGATGGCAATCCTTTAACCAAAAATTGAATTCTTCAAGTGAGGGTTCTTATCCTGGGGGTCCACAGATCTCTAAGAGGGGCATATGAATGGATCTCAAGAGCTGTATGAACCTATCTAAATTGTATGCCAAATTTGGGAGCATGTGCATTTTTCTGGTAAGAGAATCCATAGCTTTTGTCAGATTTTCAAATGGGTCTGCAACCCAACAAAGTTAAGGATCAACCACTTTAATGGAAGAATTTCAGGTATCCACCACAGCCTGGTAAAAGATATATTTTGGGACAGGGAGGTCTTCTGGACACTCCTCAAATCATATACACACATGCTCTCTTGATTACAGAGAATAATTGAGGGCTCAGACCACTAGACTTTCCTGAACACATCATACCCCTAGTATTAAGACTACTTCCAAAGGAAGGTTCCCTGGCCATCACCACCACACCAATAGCCTTAGATCCCCTGCATTTAGTCTCAGATTGGGTGGGGTGATGCAGTGATTCCTCTTTGGGTTGTCCCAAGATTAGAAACAAATGCTTTCTTTTCATGGGCCTCCCCTGTGCAGAGGGTGGGGAGACTTTGGGGTTCCGTGACAATGGCAGAGGTTTCTGTGTGTGTGCCCCTGTGTATGCACACTTGGTCCCTCAGAATCAGAGACCATTTTCAGTGGACAGACCTTAGTATGGGAAAACAGGGCTTTAGGCAACTCTCTCCAGCCAAAACCTATTTTCCCAACCCCTACCCAAAACAGGCCAGACAGTCTGGAGACCCTTGTTTTTGTGTCTCTAATCACCAGCTCAGACAGTGCCCTCTGGGCTGTTTGGATGGCATATCCCTTTTCCCTCCCAGGATCACTCTCTCTTTTGTTGCATTGTGAGAAAATTATGGCTAGGAATTTGATGGGGAGCCAGTGTCAGCTTCCGGGTGTGATCTCAGCATGCAAGTGTGAGCTCAGGGTGCTGTGACGTTGGGCACATCTAACTGAGGAGATTTTGTCTAGCTGGCTATTGACCTCCTCTCCCCCTGCCCATCCCATCCTCCAGGCCACAGAATAGGGAGCAGCACAAACAAGGCCCTGAGATTTGGGTTTATTAAGCTCCACCCAGAACTAAACCAAAGGCTACCACATGTCCCAAGGGACCAAACCATACATTGTGGACCGTGCACTTTTCCCTTTCCCCAAGGATGCTGCTACCTCTGGGGTGGTGGGCAGCTGCTTGTATCACGGCAGTAGATAGAAAGGAATTCGCAGGGTGCTAGGTCTGTGGCACTCAGGGCTCAACTCTGGCTGCCTCCTCCTCTTCCTCCGGATCAGGAGGTGCAGGGAGCAGGGAGATGTAGACCTCATTGACCTCTGTGTCCAAATGTCGGCCACCCCGAGGCGCCTCCAGGTTAAGGATGCCATCATGGGAGAGAGCAGCGCGGACCCGCCAGGGGTCGACATCAGCAGGCAGGACGTAGGTGCGGCAGAACTCTCGCGACACGAAGCCGTGGCGGTCCAGGCGCTGGGGGTGCCGGGCAGACACCTCCAGCAGGTTGTCCACAGTCCTCACAGTCACCTCATCTGGGGTAAAGTGGCTCACATCCAGAAATGCCTGGAACTTGCCCTCACTGAGCCTGAGCTCGGAAGCCCCTGCCCTGCTGCCCTCCCCAGCTTGGGCAGCCCGAGGCCGGACATAGTAGCCATGGTAGAGGGTGGGGGTCAGGATTTCTTCTGGCAGGAGGCCTGAGGGGCAGAGAGAGAGAAGGCAAGAGGCAGGATAAGGGAGCGTGAAGGGGGAACAGGGGTGAAATGAGAGGAGATCAGGAGGTGAGGACTGGGGAGAGCAGGAGGGGAGTCAGGAGAAGCAGGGAAGGGGAGGCAGGGGGACACAGCGGCTAGGAGGCAGCTGGGGAGAGGGGATTGAGAAAGGAACCGAGATGGGGGTGGAGGAGAGCAAACCAAACCGGGACTGGGTGGACCGAAGGGGAACAAGGCACGCTAGGGGCGGCAGGGGGCAGGTCTCAAAGCATTGTGGGCTCCAAGTCTGCACTGAGGTCAGTAGGAAGGGGAAAGAGCTCTGCTTGGAGGGGGGCAAGGGGGAGTCTGGTGCGGGAGATGGCTTGCCCCAGTAGTTCAGTTAAGCCCAGAGTGGGGTGGAGGCCAGTACCGTTGGGAGGTCAGCCCAGAATTTCAGGAGGTGGGGGTGGGAGGCAAGGGGGTGGCGTCTGTGCCATACCTTCTCCGAAGCGCTGCTCACCCAGGCGGCTCGGGTTGGCAAATTCGTACTCAGCGGTGGCCGGGTGGGCATGTGGCACCGAGCGGCCCGACATGGCTGCAGACGCGTCGGCGGCCCTGGTCCGAGGTGCAGCCCCAGCGACGCAGCGGGACCCCTCCAGCTGCCTGGAGAGACAGGGCTCTCTTGGAGGTGGGGGCGGGGTCTACACCACCCAAAATAGTGCCGAGCCTCGGGAGGAGGGGCGGGGAGCCCGGGCCCTGAGTGCCAGCGACGAATGTGACCAGCAACGCCTGGACCCCCGTTCCCTCCCCCCGCACACCCTTCAGCTGTTGCAGGGGGCCTGAGAGGACAGCTGGGGGTCCTGGCTGGGGAGAGAGCTGCAGAGGGGAGGCTGGTGCCAGAGGCCCTGGAGAGGCTTAGCTGAGACCCTCACAAACAGTTTGCACATTTTCCACACCACCTTTTCTCCTCTTCAGTGGCAGGCACTCTGCATCCAACTTCATAAAGCTCTCATGGATTTAATGTTCTGCGAGCCATGTAAGGTGAAAGGTACAAGAAATCTTTCTATCCTTTTTGGGGGTGTAGGATGAGGGGTCTTCCTGCCCAGATTAATGTCAGGGTCCTCTCCTGAACCCAGGTCAACCTAGGGTACTACACAGATGCATGGCACTGACATGTTGGTGATCACTGCTCTCCTCTAGGAACCCACAAAGAGTTAATGTCCCTGGGGCCCAGCCTAGGAAGATTCCAGTCCCTGCCCAGGCCCAAGATAGTCGCTGGCTCGGTTCCTCTGGCATGCTAGGCTGGAGAGGAGGAGGAGGGGCACACTGCTGCCTGTTTGGGATTCCTGACTTTGTCCCAACTCCAGAGAAGGGGGGTGGCAAGGGGCCATTGGGTGTGGACAGAAGGCTAGTGAAACAAGACCAGGACAAGTCACTGGCCAGCTCAGACGTGTTTGTATTTCTCTTTTCTTAGCTCAGTGAGTACTGGGTATGTGTCACACTGCCAAATCCCGAATCACAAGTCTCCATGAACGGGCGGTGAGCTGGGATAATAAAACCCCTGACATCACCATTCCAGAAGCTTCACAAGACTGCGTATATAAAGGGGCTGGCTGTAGCTGCAGCTGAAGGAGCTGACCAGCCAGCTGATCCCCCACATTCACCCAGCCACCATGGACGTCGCCATTCACCACCCGTGGATCCGCCGCCCCTTCTTTCCTTTCCCCTCTCCCAGCCGCCTCTTTGACCAGTTCTTCGGAGAGCACCTGTTGGAGTCTGATCTCTTCCCCACTTCTACTTCCTTGAGTCCCTTCTACCTTCGGCTGCCCTCGTTCCTGCGGGCACCCAGCTGGATTGACACTGGGCTCTCAGAGGTAAGTCTCCCCTCTGCCAGGACAGGAGAGTTCTTCCTGGAACCTCCTGGAAACATCTCCATCTGCTCTCCTTTTCCTCCCTGCCTAAATCTGGCTATGTCTAAGGGTCTTAGGCACTTGTGCGTCCAGCAGTGAAGAAAGATAAAGTTACTAACGCCTCCCTCCCCCAGTCACCTGTTTGTATTTGATGTTCCTCTGTATCCTACTTATTGCGTTTTTCCCATGCGCGATGAAGATCATCCTCCATCTCCCAAGTGCGATACTCCTTTCTGGTTTGGTTCATAATGATCTCAGGGAAAGACCTGCCTTCAGACTCATTTGCTCACCTCTTCTGATACCTCATACTCCTGATGAATTTTATTATCTGAAGTTTCAGAGCCAGGAGACAGTCTTAGCTCATCCTGAGCTTTTCATCCCCACTGCGTGGAGCTGGAGACAGCAACCACTATTTTCATCCTTTCTATTCCCTCTTCTGTGATTTTCCGGGTTTCTCAGGGCCGACAGGGCACTGGCCTGGGTCCAAGCCTAAGGAGGAAAGAATGTAGGTCCAGTCTTGGGACCCCCACTTGTCCTAAGAGGGTGGGAGAATGGGGTGAACAGATAAGGTTGACAGAAGCTATCATAGATAACACTCTAGTTTAAAAATATTCAAGTGTGAGTAAACAGGAGCTAAGTAGGCAAGGGCTTTGGAAGGACAAATCAGGGCCAGCAGAACATTCCAGATTGACTGGGTGGGAAACTTGGCAGAGACCTGAGCAAGAAGAAGGGGCCTTTGTCTTACAGACAAATGACAAGGCTGGGCATTGGGATGGGAGAGGCAGCAGAAGCCATGCCCAGACCCATCCTTGTGATTGGTCCCCTGGGTGGCCTGTCATCTTCCCTGTCCCTGTAAACAAAGTTTGGGCCTTGGGTACCACTGTGGTGGCTCCCTTGAACCAGAGAGCTGTGTTTATTCAAAAAGGGATTTTTAGCCAAAAAGAGGAGGATAAACCTCCTGGACAGAAAGCAAGTCTACAGAACGATGAGACTGCACTAGTGTAATCCACATTCCTTCCATCTTTTCTCCTACTCCCTCCTCTCCACCTTGCTATTTGTAGATGCGTCTGGAGAAGGACAGATTCTCTGTCAACCTGGACGTGAAGCACTTCTCCCCAGAGGAACTCAAGGTCAAGGTGCTGGGAGATACGATTGAGGTGCACGGGAAACATGAAGAGCGCCAGGTGTGTAGATTGTTTTCTCTTCTGCTCATTCATTCAGTGCATACTGTATAGCAGACACTGCCATCAGCCTCTGAGGCCGGCAACATGCCCATCCTAAGCCATAGGGTCTGGAACAGGGATAGACCTGTTGTTGTTGTTGTTTTGGCCAGAGAAGTGATCTTTGTTGTTTTGATTTGATTGCTTTAGATAGGGTAGATGGGATGTTCACTTCCCATTTAAGCCAGTGGTTCTCAGCTTGGCCACTTCAGAATCACCAGGGGAATTTAAAAAAAAAATCCCAATGCTCAAGCATATTCCAGACCAATTAAATCAGAGTTTTTAGGGGTAGGACCCAGGCATCAGCATTTTAAAAATCTCTCTAGGTAATTCTAATGTACAGTCTAGGTTGAGGACCATGGATTTAGGCATAGTGCTTGTCGGACACCTGGTTGCTTTACATAATTATGTTAATTGCATGCACCCTGAAGGCCCTTGAATTTGGGACTTTTCTTTTAGATTTTCAGGAATCCTCTTCTCCTTAGCCCCTCTTAATGCTGAACTACTTGGTTTGCCTAAGTTTCAGAACTGTACTCAGCTCCTAATACACCAGAGCCCATGTGGAAATCAGTTAACTGAGAGCCTGTCTGGATAAATGCTTGAGATTCAGCAGGTGTAAGGGTAGGAGTCAACTATCGTTTAGCAGAATTCTGAAGAATGGAACAGCTTCTCATTATTTTCTGAGAGCGTTTTTTAATGAGTTTGCTTCTTACCAATCAGTGGTAACTCGAATCTTGTGCATCAAACAGTACAGTTTGAGGTCCTCAGGCTGTTTGTTTGCTCAAATGATTTAAGTTTGGGTCATAGTCTCCCTGGATGGAGTCTTATTTTTTAACTTTTTCTAGCGGCAGTCCTCTTGGTCTGGAACATTCTAAGACATTCCTGGAGAGTCAGAACAATTTCCTCAGGGACTCAGATCATCAATGCCAGATGATATTCCAAATCCTGTAGACCCAACAAACATTGATCTGAACCTTTGGAAAATACCCCTCAACATTTCCATGCCTCAGGATTTGGACAGCTGTGAAGTTTTGGCTGTTTCTGACTTCCCAGACTCTCATCGGTAGGAGTGACCACCTAGGCAACTTCATCTTAGCCCCAAACAGAACAGCTATTTAGCTTTCTCTCATGTTGCCATGACCTTTGGTGACACCTAAGGGGAAGGAGGATGTGTTGGTTCTAGGCAAGTGGTGCTATTTCCTGTTCTTATCTCTCTGCCTCTTTCCTCGTTCTCTTGGATTAGGATGAACACGGTTTCATCTCCCGAGAGTTCCACAGGAAATACCGGATCCCAGCTGATGTGGACCCTCTCGCCATTACTTCTTCCCTGTCATCTGATGGGGTCCTCACCGTGAATGGACCAAGGAAACAGGCCTCTGGCCCGGAGCGCACCATTCCCATCACCCGTGAAGAGAAGCCTGCTGTCACTGCAGCCCCCAAGAAGTAGATGCCCTTTCTCTAACTGAATTTTTTAAAACAAGAAAGTTTCCCTACCAGTGAATGAAAATCTTGTGACTAGTGCTGAAGCTTATCAATGCTAAGGGCAGGCCCAAATTATTAAGCCAATAAAATATTATTCAGCAATAGATAACTGTCTTGTGTTTGAATATTCCATATGTTTTAAAATAAATGTACAAATACAGCAGATCCATTTAATTATCACATTATGATTTAGGGGGCTCCAGGGATATTAGAGTCAGAATAACTGTCTCCACCACTTCCTAATGGTATAAACTTACTTAGAAAGTCACTTAACCTTTCCGGTCTTCAGGTCTTCCATTTGTAACATGGGGTACTGAGTTGTACACTTGTTGTAAGGAGTAAATTAAGGAGAAAAAGTAAGTGAAGCCCTTAGCAGAGTTCAAGGAATACAGATTCCTCTCTCTCCTCCCTCTTTGATTTGGACCTCAGTTCCAACAACAAATCTGAATAAACTGGATAACAACACATAGGCGCTGGCCCCATGGCTTAGCAGTTAAGTGGGCACGCTCTGCTACTGGCTGCTGGGTTCAGATCCGGGCGAGCACCGATGCATTGCTTGTCTGGCCATGCTGAGGTGGCGTCTCACATACAGCAACTGGAAGGATGTGCAACTATGACATACAACTATCTACTGGGGCTTTGGGGAGAAAAAGGGGAAAAAAGGAGGAGGATTGGCAATAGATGTTAGCTCAGGGCCAGTCTTCCTCAGCAAAAAGAGGAGGATCGGCGTGGATGTTAGCTCAGGGCTGATCTTCCTCACAAAAAAATAAATAAATAAAAAATAAAAATAAAAAAAATAACAATACATAAAAGGCCTTAGTGCATCTCTGAAATTAATCATGTGGCCAGGGAAGAGATGGTGCCCCTGATGTTATTTGACATGTTCCCACTGATAAGCAATGCCTTCAGCTGATTCACAAGAACAATAAATAGGACTTGGCTGATTGGCCAAACAAGCTCTGTCTTGACATGAGTACAGCCATGTTTGGCCGCTCCCTTGACCTATAGCCACCAGCACACAAAGAAATATAAAGCTGCTTTCCGTGTGGTGGGAACTGGCCTTTTCCCAGGAACTGGCCTTTCTCCCACAGAGAGAGTTGCATGTTGTAACATTTCAAGTCTCTTGGAGCGTCGTAGCACGGGATGGACTGGCCATCTGTGCCGGGCTAGGACGATAACCAAAGAGAACAATGCATGTACACAATTACTGGGCTGGGACGTTAGCCAGGGGGCTCAGTGCACGTACGCCACTGCTAACCATTTGTGCATGGAAACACTAAATGCTTGCTCTGCAAACTCTGTAATTGCTTACTCAAAAAATTATTGATGGTATAAAAACTGCTGGAGACTGAGACCCGGTGAGAGTTCCACCTGTGGAAGGGACGCCTTGCCCAGGACGTGTGATCCTTGCCCAGCCGCGTCGATTGACAGGACTCTCCCGGCAGTGGGGTGTGGATATTGTGAGTAATTGATTTGATGTGAAGTAATTGATTTGATGTCAAGTAATTGATCTGATGTGTTCTCTTTTCGGTCAACCTGGTGTTTCTCTTTCCGGTTGATTTGTGTCAT